TTCTCATTAGCAACGGAGGGACTGTGTATCATCTAAAGGCTCCTAATACTGCTACATCCAAATTCAGAATTGAAAAAACTGGAACCTAATGAAAGGTCACATCTCTGGGACAGATAATTTTGAGGCAAAGCAGGACAGTAAGGGTTAAGACACATATCACAGAATCACCCGGGTTGGAAGGGACCTCAAGGATCATGTAGTTCCAACCCCCTGCCTAGCAGGGCCACCAAACGTACACATTTAGGTCAGGTTGCCCAGGACCCCGTCCAACCTGGCCTTGAACACATCCAAGGATGGGGCATCCACAACCTCCCTGGGCAGCCCGTTCCAGGGCCTAACCACTCTCCTTGTAAAGAACTTCCCCCTAACATCCAACCTAAATCTTCCCTCCTTCAACTTGGATCCATTTCCCCTAGTCCTGCTACTGTCAGCCCTTTTGAAGAGTTTAGTCCCCTCCTGGGTGTAGGTTCCCTTCAGGTATTGATAGGCAATGAGGTCACCCCGCACCCTTCTCTTCTCCAGGCTGAACAAGCCCAACTCCCTCAGCCTGTCCTCATAGGGGAGGTGCTCCAGCCCCCCGATCATCTTAGTCGCCCTCCTCTGGACCCTTTCCAAAATCTCTTTGTCTTTCTTGTACTGAGGGCTCCACACCTGGACACAGTACTCCAGATATATGCAGACTTATGCTGTGCTACAGACTTGCTCAGTTTCATCTTGAGCATGTCAGCCTCTTCATGATATGATTTGACAGTCTATAGATTGAGAGTTATAAGAAATGTTTCAGAGATTAGATAATGCTCAAAGCATGTCTAAGGGTGTTCAGATGAGCAGTTATTTAAATGAAAACTATTTCCTGTTTAAATAGATGTTGAGCTTTAGCAGTGATGGTGGTGATGTCTTCTAGGTAGAGCATATTGTTCATAAAGCCATAAGGAAAGTTTTGGGGAAAATAATCAATATGGAGTTCAGTAAAGAATGACAAATTGTCTTTGGTGACAGTGAACTGTTTTGTTTAAATGTAGTGAGGGAAGGTAGAACAGAGCCCCCAGATAGAGAAGTCTGTCTTGTCCTCATGGATAGAGTCCTCATCTGGGATGGGGGAAGCAAGGGGATGTATGTGAGAGTAGTGAATGCCCACTGGTGATTAGGGACCTATGCTCAGAGAACCTAAGGTTCTCTTCATTGTTACAAGTTTCACAAAGTAGAGGGTTGAGGGCATGCAACGCATGGACTTAAGCTGTGCTGTTCACCTCTATAGTGTGAAAGGGTTGTCTTCTAAATTCATCCCAATGAATCCTGTGTAACTGTTGTTCCTTTAAATGAGATGGGGTCTGGGAAAAGCCGCTGGTCTTCTGGGTAAAGAGAAACTCAACAAGGCAGGACTGCATGTACACAAGCTCAGCTTAGTTCTCTGAAGTAGGTATGTTTTTTGCCCTGTGCAGCACCTCATTCACTTCCTTATGAGAATACAATAGTAGGGCTTCATAAAAGGGAAAAAAAAAACAACAAACACCAACTTCCCCCCCCTCTCCCCCCCAAAGTAAGATATTATCTTCTGCTATATTTTCCTTATTCACAGAAAACTAACCTTATCACCAAGTGAAATCAGGTTTGTTTGGCAAGATTTGCAGGTTGCTCCTACATTAGTCCAAATGAAATTTCTGTCAGTCAATCAGTCATCTTCCTGGAAAGCTGATCTTTATTTCATGATAAAAGATTTTAAAAAGTAAGAAGTTAATCCATTGAAAATTCCTTAGTCATTAAAGAATGGGGGAAAGTTTCTCAATAAATTCTTAACCCAACATCTCTTGGAAGAGCCAGCAAAAAGTATGAAAGACATCTTTTTGTGGAAGGGGAGATTGCATACCTCAAAGAAGCGGTACTGGTGGGACACCATCTGCACTCTAACTGTGCTCTCTTCTAAGTTAACTCATGGAAAGTCATTGCTCTGCATTGGGGTCAGGCAAGAGAAGAACTGGGGACCTCAAAATCCAAAGGCTGCCTTATGATGATCAACTCAACAGGTAGCATTTACCTGAGTTGTGCTCTGTTCAGAGGCTGCAAATCAAGCGGGCTTGAGTCTTCCTGCCCCCTTGGAGGGAGAGCAGCATTTGGAAGGCCTGATTCAGGCAGGCCAGCAAGGGCTGTGCTCACAGGACGAGCTAGCTTTGCTTTGTTGTGTGTGCGGTTCTACTTTGTATTTACTTAGACTGTGGCTTTTGGATCTGACAGCCAAATGTTAGTCTTTCTAAACTTGTTCTGGCACATATTTACAACACGTATGTTGGAAGGAAGGCCATCTCAAGATCAGTATTTCCTTTAATCTTTGGAGGGAAGAGAGTTGGGCTAAAGCTATGAGAAGAGCTCAGTGAGAATGGTGCAGAGAGGATGGTGCAGAGGAAGATGGGGCCTCCTGAAATTCTCAGATCAGCCTTCAGAACTCTTGTCCCATTCCTTGGGGAATTCAAGCTTACAGATCAGGCCCAGACAGTGGAAGTTGTTCCTTTATAGCCTTCAGAGGAAAGAAGGGTTCTGCTCAGCCCCTTTTGAGGTGGGGGAAGCTCCATTTGTTCACTTGCACTGGATTAGGAGAAATCAATGTTACATTTCTGCACCACTTTGTAAATACCCACCTTACCCAGGCAGTTCTTTCAGCAGCAGCCCATTTCCAGAGTACAAACCCACCATTGTACTGCTGATATCAGCTAATTTGGCCCCATGGACCTTGAGCCAGGCGATCACATGGTTTCCTGCTTGCCTTGCCTCAGCCTGGTTAAATCTTAAAGTGAAAGAATAAAACATCAGGTATTGGGAGATTAATACCTGCCTGCCAGGCCATGCCCACTCTGCTCTCCTGTTCACTGAGAGCCTACAGCTGAACTAATTCTGCACAGTCAGTGTGCAGACGGTGAGCATCTTTCCATATAAAATAGTTTTCAGTCCGAGTCAGCTCACTGCAAACACACTGGCTGCTCTTGAACCCTGCCCTGACCCCATGTGCCTCCTCCAGCGTCTCTTGCTACATCAGGAATCCTCTTCAAGCAGCAACCAGGTCATCAGTAAGTCCCTCTGAGCTCAGACCCCTGCAGGGAATGCACTGGTGCTTGTTTCCTCCTCCTCATCTCTGGTTGTGTTCAGGTTCTTCAGTGTGGTTGCTGAGATCCCTTCCTTGCAATACTGGGCACTGCTCCAGTTACCCCCAAGCCCATCTTGAGACTTACTGGCAATCAAAGCATCTTAGAGTTTTCACTGTGCTGATGTGTCACTTAGGAGTACAGAAGTGTTTGTGCACACAATTCCATTTCCTTTAACTCTGCATCCAGGAGAGATGTATATTCTGAACTTTGTGTCACCTGCAACATTCAGGTAAGCAGATTCGGCTCTACTTTTAAAAGTGTGGACAAGTCTCTGTTGTCTTCTGTTTTCTAAACTAAGGTTTTCAGTGGCTTCTTCATGCATCTTGTATTTAGGGAAGTTGATCAGAATTCTGCAGCTTGTCCCTGCACAGTCAGGGGATGCAGGAGGACCTGCCACGAGTTTATATGGTGTTTTTGTTGCATGTTCCATAGTGCTTATGATCTCTGTTAGAAAATTTGTTGAGAAAGTTGTGCTGCCTTTAGCAAAGAAGGTGTTTGTGAATTTGACTATTCCTCTTTTTCTGAATATAGTCTGCTTCAAGTTTCTCCCGACATGCTTAGCCTAAAACTTTCTTACAACGTAGTGATTTAGCTGTAAACATGGCAATAAACAGTTTCCCTCTTTTGCTGTATAGCCCCTCCCATCTGGAAAGTTCTTAAGGATCATTGCTTCTCCTGCTGCTACACTTTTGCCTCAAAATAGATTCTGTGCCTTATATTAAGGAGTATCCTTAATGTTCCAACTTCTCATCTGCCTGACATAGGAGAGTGAAGTTTTGCTCAGTTGTGTTTATTTCTGTTTTAAAAGGGCCTCTCTTGTTTGTCAGTGAAGGTTATTTTAGTATATTTGAGCATCAGACACCTAAGCACGAAGTAGAGGTGTAAGAGAGGGGCATGGGAGGTTTGCATCTGTGCCCTTTGGGAGTCAAAGGGCTGGTGGCAGTGACCAAAGAGTCCCTGCAGGGTACCTCCACGTGAGTCAGGCTTCCAGGACAAGGCTCTGGGCGTGTGGCTGAGGCTTGTGTGCTCGTACAGACAGGATTCTTCAGCTGGGAACTGCTCTGCTGCCGTAGGAAGGCAGTGAGGTTGCATGGGTGTGAAAACGTGAGGATAGCGGAAAGCCTTGTGACAGGGCAGCTGGTGTATATGCAGAGCTTAGAAAGGTCTTTCGTGAGGATTGTTTTGTGTTGGTTTTGATTGTAACGTTTCTGAGGGTCCGTACCTACAGGCGTGTGCCTGACAATACGTGCTTTTATCCCGAACGTCCGATTCTGGTCTCAGTGTCAGGGTTTATTCCGGCACGCTCTCAGGCTGCGCTGAAGCGACATCTGAACGGTGCTGCTTTGAAACCGGGATCGGGCGCTCGTCTGCCTGCGTGTGCTGAGGGTGCGGGGCCGCGCGGGGCTGCGGCAGCGAGCCTCGGCCTGTGCGTGCGGAGCCGTGTGCGCTGCTGCCCGCCGGCTGCGCGCCCGCGGGAGGAAATGCTCCCGGGGCTCCGCTCCGCGGGGTTTCCCCTAACCCTAAACTCCGCGGCCGCCGGGTGAAGGTGCGAGAGATGCGGGCCGCGCGTGCCGCCCGCCGCTCTGCTTTCCCTGCCGGGACCGGACGGCAGGCTGTCATCGCGCGTCCCGCCGCCGCCCGGCCCGGGGCCGCCCCCGGGAGCGCTGCGCCCGTGAGGCCGGAGCGGGTCCCCCCCGGCCGTGCCTCCCCCAGCCGCGCTCCAAGCCCGGCCCCCGCGCGGGAGCCAATCGCCGCTCGTCCGTCTCCATCCATCTCCCGGTGTTAAAGCTACAGCGGGGCTCGGGGCGGCGAAATCCCCCGTGGCTGGGTCCTGCGCGCCGCCCGCCTCCCGCCGCTGCCAGAGTCCGGGCGCGGAGCGGAGCGCAGCGGAGCTGCCGGCCCGGCCCGTCCGCTTCTGCCCTGCCGCCGGGCTCGGCCGGCTCCCTGCCGCGGCTCCACGCCCGGCGCCTGAGTTGTCCTCTTGTTGTTTCCCTTCTTTCTTTCTTTTATTTCTCTTTTTTAAATTTTATTTTATTTTATTTTTTTTTCTCCAACCGGGAATGCTCAAAGTGGACTGATGGACATTTCCGAGCTGTGCATCTCTGACCCGCTCGGCTACCACAACCAGTGAGTGCGCCGCGTTGTGCCGCGCCGGGACCGGGCGAGCCGCGGGCGGGCGGGGACCGGCAGCGCTGCCGGTGGGACGGGACGGGGCCGTGACCTGGCGCGCCTCTGCCTCGCCGCGGGGATAGGAGCGGGCGGGTGCCGCGGGGGAGCGCCGGGAGCCGGTGCGCGGGGCCGACGCTTTATTTCCTCGTAACTTCTCCCTCTAACGCTTCATCTCCTAGGAACGGGCTGACGCTGAGCACTGGCAGTCCAGTCTGCACAGTTGTACTTCCCGTCGGTGCTAGGATTTTTATTACGTGGATTCTTAGGCGTCTATAAGGAGATATGCATAAAATTACAGAAGGTGGATTCGCTAAAATACTATTGCAATTTTTTTGTTGTTGTTATTATTGTTGTAACAAATCTCGTATTTTGACTCGAAATCCCCATCGGAAAAGGAGTTTCTCACAGCTCGCTCTGCGGGGTGCCTGCCAGGAGAGGAGCGGAGCGGCAGGGCTGGCCGCAGCATCCCGAGCCGGGACCGCTGGCAGCTACCTCAGCACCTGCCGCTGCTCTTTGTATCCTGCGCGGAGCGGTACCCGGTAACGCTGCGTTCAGAGCCGCGTTAACGTGTTAAGTTTGGTTTGATCCTTTTGGGGAAGTTAGGACACAAGGCAAAATTTTCTCAGCGTCTGCATCCAGCTCACTGGAGTCATTCAGTTCCATGTGCGTTTCTCCCCTCAGATAAATCTCCACGAGCGGAATCCCCTTTTGTGTTTTCATGTTAATCTGTGTGTCACCTACAGAGGTTCTGTGGTGTCATCCGGAGGGGGATAGGGGCTAGGAGCGAGGTCATTTGCCGGTTTCATTGTGTTTGTTTTAAGAACGCATTCTATTTAGTAAAATTAAAACACTTAAAACCAACCAAAACCCTCAATGATATTGACCTCTCTTTCCTTGTTACAGCTGTCCTTTATCCATCTGTCTTGCTTGCTGATATTGTCTGTTCTTATGCTCCTTTCTCCCTATTTTAATCCCCCGCTTTCAGCGTTTCATTAAAATGTGACAGAATTGTTGATAGAAATTAATAGTCTGACCCGTGTGATTTTCTTTTCTTTACTGCTTCACTTGTAGCTGCTCCATCCCGAATTAGAAATAAACAGTTTCTTGAGGGAAATGTATTCTGTGTGCTTATGGGAGTCTTTTAACATAAAGCCAAAAGCACGAAGTGCATTTACCTTCATTAAAAAACAAACAAACAAATGCCAAAACAACAGAAGAAAATGCCACAGTCATAAGATATATCATTATCACTTGCTATAGTGTCTCTTAACTTTTTATTTGTTCCAGTTTTGGAATTGAGAAAAGAAACTCCAACAGCACGAAAGCAGTGGGAAGGGATCTGCACATTGGATTGCTGTCCCTGTGCTGTATCACCAAGGGCTTTCGGGCAGCTCCCAGCTCAGGAACAGTGCCCTACTGTGTTCCCAGCCCTTTGGCCACGCAGCAGGCAGGTGGAGGTGGCCCTGGGGAAGTGCAGATGAGCTCCCATGGCTTTGCAGTGGGCAGATCTGCTCTTTGCCATGAGAATCTGTTGTAGTGCTCTCAGTTGAGAGGAGTGCTTGATGTGGCTGTGTGTGCCAGCCAGCTGCCATCCTAACACTGATGAGGTCGGGGGAGGGAGACCAAGAAATACCATTTTAAATATTTCAATCCATTTTATTTTGTTTAATTAGAAGAGTGCAGTGATGAAGTGGGGAATTATGGCTGAGTCTGGGAAAAGTTGGTGAGAGAAGGAAAAGGTGTGGGAAGCCCTAAACCGTGGAAAAATTGATGCGTGTGCAGTGTGTCTGCTATTGCTTGGGTTTACGTTCTTGTGTTGTTAGGGTTAGATTTTGGCTTGCGTTTTGTAGCTGAGGATAAGAGTTGACCCAATATATGCTTCTTGAGCTGCTTCTTCCCCCATTGTAACACATTTATGAACATATTGGGTAAATACAGGTATTGTGGTTGTGCTTGTGATAGTAGCTGGTTGTGTGAGCATATCGTCCTTTTTGTTGTGAGTGAGTCTGACTGTTAATCACTGAAAAAGATTTTCATAGTTATTTTCCTTTAAAAAAAAAAATGCTTTAAATTATGTGGGCAGCATTTGTCATCAAATTAAACCTTAATTTAAGAGTGAATTTTTAAATATCACAGGCTGCCTCTTCTTGTTAGTTGCTTGTTAAGCTATAGGAAAAAATGGAAAGAAGGATTGAATGTAGCTGGAGAAGGAGCTGTAGTCACTCAATAGGGGATCCATACAGTTACCTGGAAACTGTATTTCACCTTGCAACTATGGAGAGAAACAAGGCAAAGGAGAGGAAAGGTGACTCTGTTCACCTTGGAGTTTAAGGGGAGCTTAATATTTGTAATGCACTCAAAAGCAAACAAAAATGAACAAGGGAAAGGAATTCATTATCCCTCATCACACTCTTGAGGTTTTGGATTCGTCTTTCTGAAGCATTGGAAGTTCCCTTTCCTCTGTCTGCGTGTGCAGGTCTGAGCGATGGCATCGGGAACCGGGGGCGTTCCATTTGGTGGGCTGAGTGCTTTCCCTCAGCACGGGGTCTTGCAGTGAGAGTAAGGAAATACTGGTTCCTGATACTGACCCTCTGTTTTTGACCCTGTGCATCCTACGGCAGTGTACGCGCTTGGTTTCTTGTACAGGAGTCTCCTCTTTGGTGACCACTTTTGGTACTGACCTTTGGGAGAATTATTCCTGGGGTCGATGATGCAGCTCCGAGGGACAACCTTTTGCGTGACTTCCAGTTGGGAAGCTGACAAAGGCAGTGATTTGTACCTGCGGTTCGTCTCTCAGGTGAGGCGTACGGTGAGAATGCACTAGTTACACTGTATGACAATGTCTGCAGTACAGCGCGAAGGGAGCGCGCTTACAGGCACTGGGAACAGCATCCAGGCAGACAAAATAGGTGATTATATTCACATGAACATGTGTGTGCATATATAAATACCTATATGGAGTTGTATGCACGTACATAGGTACGGTCGCACTGAGTATCGGTATTGCATATCGCTCATATGCAAACCTAAGGCTGTTTCAAAGGGGGCAGGTTTACTTTTATGTATCAACTTTCATGTCCCAGAGAATTTTTTCTGTCCAGCAATAGCTGCCACAAGAAATACTGACAGGACTGCAAAATTGCAACTCCGTTTCTAATTAATATTCTCCATGACAGTCAGAAACTGACCAAGTAACCATAATGAAGGGAAAATAAAAATCATTGGCAAATAAGGGCGCGCTGCCAGATGCTATGTCTCTTGCACTGTTTCCTCTGATGTACAAGAAAGACACATGAGTCACTGATCTGATAAAAATGAAAATTATTTTATGGGCAGAAAGGAAAAGTTGAAAGGAATATCTGGTATGTTTGATAGAGAGACGGAAAGGTATAACATTGGAATTTTAAGTCAGTGAAACGGCAAATTCTGGATCCTGTAACAAAGAATTGACAAAGTTGTTGTCACTGACTCTAATGCACAGACTGAGGAAATGTGACTTAATTTGAGAGGTTACTGGAAATGTCTGTATTCCGTGAATGGGAGGAAATCTGAGTCAGAGAAGCTGAATGCAGCGGTCTGGTCTGACTGTCTCTGACAGTCTGGGGCAGGGAGGAGTTGTTAACTGGGGAACGTGGGGAGGGAGTTGTGTGCTTTATTGACGGAATAAACTGAAAATCCTCTGTAAGGGAAGCAGCCTGGTTGCTGGGTTCCTGACTAAACTCCCACTGCAGAATAGGGTCTTGGTGTACTGTGCGTATTGAGCACAAGGCTGATGAGGAAATTGGTACCTTTATGACATTTGTATTAACTTTTCCCTCCTTTTCCAATTCCACTTGTGAAAGTAAAGATGGTCTAATCATTGTCAATTATTGAGAAATATGGAAAGATCAATATATTTTAAAAAGTAGGATTTTTTTTCATTGTATTGATTTGAAGTAATCAATAAATATTGCATTTAGCCTGAGAGGAGAAAGACTTTGGAGAGATTGCATCAGAGAAAGTTGCTGTGACAGAGATTTCACATCCCGTTTTCTCCCTTTCCAGGGGATCACTGCTGTATCCTCGGTGCCCTTTTTGCTGCTGTTCCCCAGCCTCGCTTCAGCTCTACTACCACTGCTCAGAATTCCTTGTCATTTGAAATATCCCGTATTTTCCCAATAATTTTAGCTCAATAAGAAGTTCTGTGCATTGTGTCAGTGCGTCCATTTCCCAAATTTGCCAGGGCTCCAAGGACACGAGTGCTTTTACGGGCTTGAAGAAGGGAGAAGGGAAAAGACTTCAGCCTGAGACCAGTGGACTTCACAGTTTCTGTTAGGAGCACAGTAGAATTGCTTCAGAGTTTGAAATAGCAAAGAGAATTTTAAATAGAGGAAGAAATAGTAAAAGTAGAAACAGATGCTGGCACAGCTTGGATATAAAAGCCAAAATCCTATATCCAGCTTTTCCTTCTAATTCCTGTTTCTTGGATTGCGAATCAAGGTTCGTAGCAGCCAGTGTTTCAAAGCAGTAGCTCTGCTGCAGGCTGTGGAGACTGGGAAATTCTTCCCAGTAACACCTATTTTTTTTAATTCATGGATCTCCTGCTATTAACTTCACAGAATTTTTAGTTTGTGCACCTAGAGGAAGGAAATGTAGCATCTGTCCAGCCCCCAGCATTGAGCTTTCTAGGTAATGCTGCTATAGAAACTGGGGGGGCAAATAGCAGGATCAGAGCTTCAGCAGAAACCTCAAATCAGGTGGTTGGTTGTTTAGTGAATGGACTTAACAAAGGCAATGTTAGCAGTGCTTTTTTTTGGTGACCCTGCTGGAGAGGCGAAAACCTTTTTTCTTTTCTTTCTGCCATCCCAGTATCAACCGCGTTTGAGTTCTGAATGTAGTCGTCCCTACGCAGCTTACATGTGCAGTGTGCTTGGTGCCTGTCATCAGGAACAGAATTTAGTATTATTTATTACTGATAG